TAATAATAATAATAATAATAATAATAATAATAATAATAATAATAATAATAATAATAATAATAATAATAGTAATAATATATAATAATAATAACAGTAAAAATAATAATAATAATAATAATAGTAATAATACGTTTTTTATTGCTAAATAACATTATGTTACGATCTAATAAAAGAAACGTCTCATTTTAAAGGAACGAATAGACAACGGGTTACAATGTTGATTAAATAAAAGCAATCATCAAGAACTAATTAATTTTAGATTAGGCAAACTAAATTTCGGTATTACGTAACTCCTGAAAACTAATGCATAAGAGTAAAACTATGTCAAATACTGCAATGCTTACGTATATTTTATATCATAATTCACATGATTTGGGAAAAGGATTTTCATTTTGTCCGGAGTATAATATTCATATTTCTGTATTTACCTAATTTTGAATGGAAAGCCGATTATTTCATTTCCTTTTATGGTAATTAGAATCTATCTAAAAAAAACCAAAGTCCGATTTTAGAATAACGGGAACGGGAATGGGAATGTGAAGTTTTTATCAATCAATCCCAGTTTATTATTGTTAAAAATAAAGATAATCAGATGATAGATGGTGAATGAAATAACTAATAAAGATTTATGTGGCTGAACATAAATGAAATGCATATATATATATCGGAGCTTTAAAAAAAATTAAAATCCTCATTGTTCGGATGTCATTAACAAAGTGTCTTCATTAATTTATTAAAATGTGATGTGATACATGATGATTAATTTAATGATATTTGTATGACGAGACGCGTAACATTTCTTTTGTTTAGATTGATAACCGAATAAGTTATTTTCTAATCAAGAAGGGATCAGCGTCTAGAACAAAACGCGTTTAATAAGGTGTATAAGCACATGTTCTTTCAGTAATGCATTATTATTTGGAGGACAATACTTTGGAGATTTTGAGATACTGACTGTGAGAATTTTTTATTGTAGAAATGACAAGAAACACACAAAAAAAAAAAAAAAAGAAAAAAAAAAAAATAGTGTATAGATTAAAAAATTACTAAAATTTCATACCAGCCATACCGCAAGAAGAAAGAAATTTATTTAACATTAATAAACTGAAAACCTAAAAAACAGTCTATCACATATCACAAGAATAAAAACAATTTACAAGAAAAAAGGAATATATATATATATTAATAGGGTATCAATAATAGGGTAGCTATGTATAAGTTGCTATACAATCTAACATAGATTATAACATAGATTATTAAGTCTGTAATGAAATACTTTTTTTGGTTAAAGGTGGGAGCGTTCTAATTCTCGTGACTGGCTAGAGCCAGGCCGGAAGTGATCAGCAACCCCGACAATTTCTAGACAAACCCCATAAAGACAACAACATAGGTTGTGTTTATGTTAAACAAAAATTATTCTTGATTTTGTTGGTGATTATTTGTTGCTGATTGTTCAACTGCAGCGGCTTTCATCATTTTTTCCATTTCACGTCGAAGATCACATCTTAGCTGGAGGAGTTCGGAGTATTCCTTAAAGTTGAGACGAGCAGGTTCCGTGGAGGTACGATCGTATTCGTCGTTACACCAAGTTTCATGAACAACGAGAAATCTCGAAAATTGAACAGATTTTCTACTTGGACTTTGATCGTTATAATCTTGTTGACAGTCATCTTCACTGTCAGAGAATGAATAACATTCTTTAGTATAAGAATGTGAAGGAGAGGATGGAATATAGGTAGCAGCCATTTTTATATATATATAATAATATATATTAAATTTTTAATTGACAGAATTAAAACAAGTAATAACAGGTACGTATGTAGATTGACAGGTAAATATGTATTATACAATTATTATATGTACGTACGTATTATATATGTACGCAATATATATTAGATATGTGTAGGTACGTATTATATATGTACGTATTTTATAGTTATATACACAATTATGTATATATATATTATGTTTCAGAACACCAAACCTAAAATATAAATTCCTTATATAACATTTATTCACTTATTTTTCTAATGAAAATCGAAAGATTTTTATTTTTTTTAAAAAAAATAAACAGATGACACAATAGTAACGTGATTGTCGGGCAATTATAATGCCGAGAACCGATTAATGTAAGAATAAAATGATGATTAATTTTAGGGGAAAAAATAACACGAAATGAAACGAGAGAGGAAGACAAGTTGGGCGGAAATCGCACACTATTTATACTATTCAAGAGTTGCTTATCACTAATAGGTGTTACTCTGATTTTAGTATCGTCAATAGAATTATATATATGTACAAGTAACAATATAATAGACGCAATATCTCCTAGGCACATAAAGGCACCTGATGACTTTGTACTCCGTATAACATCGTTATTTAAAATCTCAATATTTATATTGCATGCTACATACATCCCGTTACTTTTGGGAGTACTAAATTTACAATTTATGCAATGCTGATCTTTAACTGATACATTTTTAATTAAAATGTTGTCATCTATTTTTAGTTTGAAATACTGAACAAGTTATTGTTCACGTAGTACATATCTACTTAAGTAAATGCTAGCTATATAATAATATAAATTACTATATAAAATTATTTTTTGTTATATAATAATAAATTACACGATAAAGTCAACTTTTAATGAGCTGGGAAAGCCACGATATAAAATTAGAGACGCCAATACTATTAATACTAAACTTAATGATACTGTTCGATTTATGATTTTATCAGTTATATAATATTATCTGTGAATTATAATTTACATAATGATCTATCTATATCGACATTGACATGAATGATTACCTATTAAAATCATGTGATGATGATACTTTCATATATTAAATATCACGTTACCGAGTAAATTTAATTGATTTTTGTATTCATATGTGTGACTGATATTCTCACGTTCGTCGATGCATGTTTCGCAAAATATTTCTTTCTCTAATTCTATTTTTACTCCTTGTATCAATCCTAGAATGTGTTTATTCAAAATTTTAGTGGTTTAAAAAAATAATGCATGTATTTTTTTTTTTTTTTCTCTTGTATCCTATCAAAATATTAATCCCTTTGTGTGTCAATTCATAATAGGAATTTATGCTAATAGTTTCTAGAATTTGTTAGCTTTTGATCATGAGTCTCAAAATTGTATCACTTTGTTTTAAAATATCATTTCTGATTAGTGATGGATGTCTCTTGATAAAGATAAAAATATTTCTTGATCAAATATAACCAACCAATTTTAAATGATTAATTAAACAAAAGGTTTAATCCGTTTGTACGATTTAGAAGAAATCGTCTTTATTTAACCGACATATGTGCATATTTAACATATATGTTAATTACCGTTTATACATTATGCATTTCTGTTTTGAAACATGTCAATCTTATGCATACATTTTATTTATTTTTTTTTGTTTCATATATCGATATTTTTTACTTAGTCTTCTTGATTACCCGTTTTTAACGTGGTTGGTTACAAACTGCAAGTAAAACAATTAATTTCATCTAATTTGCAGTTTCGTAATAATGGATTCACAAAATCTTTTCAAAGATTATTGTGCCCTCGTGAATTCGCTTCGATTTTTCGAACACTTGGTCACTTATGTTGTACCTGGTGTTACCTCTCTCTGGCCCGAGACATTTTTTTACACGGGGATTTCATTTAATTTTTTATGCTGATTATTCAGATAAGCTTTTGTGTAAATGCAACTAATCGGGTATTCAAAATAAACTTTCCCCGGCTTCTACCAACCTTTTAAGAATGACGATGGTTGATCTTGTTCGATGCCGCGGTTTTTCAAGGAGGTATGACCTATAGTAAATCGTTCACATGAGATTACCTGTGCAACATTATTAGTCTAGTACAAAAAAAAATAGTAAAAAAATAAAAGTAAATTTAGTGAATGATGTAACGGGTGTACTCATTAATCTAAAAGATTTCATTCGTAAAGATAGATAATGCACGGATTAAGATCTCTAGCCGTTGTTTGTTTTTAGAGATTAATTAATATTTAGTTTAAAAAATAATCGGATGCAGTTTTCCTTAGTCCCTTTGATGATTCTTATGATAAAATGAGCATGCTTTCGGAATAGACAATTAAGTTTAACTAAATCCTTGAATTCTATTATGTAATAGATTAAGAATAAATTTTTGTTTTTTTTTTTATTTATTCCCTGCCTTCATCGTACATAAAATAATGAATTGTCTTTTTTTTTTTTTTTTTTTTTTTTATATCTTGGTGATTGAAAAATTTTGTAACACATTTAATTATAAAAAATCATTTAAAAGAAAATAAAAGGTAAAGTCGGTGTTTTGCGCACCTGATAAACCATTCTATTAACGTTAAACAGTGTACAGTACGTACAACATTTAGAAAAATCTAAATTATTTGTAATAGGAATAATATTAACAAATTAGTATATACTGTATTTAAAATTTTGATTCGTTCTTTCTATTTCTTTTTAGAGTACAAAGTGCACATGTACTTCTTTATACAGTATGTTTATCTTACGTACCGATTGTACATTGTTAATCGTGTGCCCATCGTACTTGTTAATTATATAAATATTTAAGTTAAAAATAAGTATTGAGAAACTTTACACTACGATAACGCTGTGTTACCATAGTATGTACATACATACCAGATTCATACATACGTACGTTCGACGATTTTTTTTTTTTAGACATAAAATAAATAAAATCGATTTTTATTGGTCGAAAACGCGATGCATTTTGGTGTTGGCATTTCTTGGCTACTCGTGTTGCCGATCGGTATTTCTTATATTCTATTAAAAGATCGTCTAAAGAAATTACATGATGCACATTAGAGGTTGAGATTTTAAATTAACCAATACACTATCCAAACCTGTAGTCTCTCTCAAGTCTTGTCTAAAAATCGCTTGTTCTTGTTTATAATGACTTTAAGTTTGATAGGTACGCGTAGGATTATTATCTTGTTCTTGTTGATGAGCTAAAATTAATTTAATTTGCACATATTAATTTAATTTACACATAAAGTATTGTTTTGCCATGTAAAGTAGAAGTCTCGATTTGATTTGAAACAACAAAAACTCGAATTTTTAATTCCTCATATCGTCAAATAATAGATTTAACGAAGTGTG